GTGTATGAACACAAGAAGTCAAGCAATAAGACAAAGAGAAAGAGCTGAGCACATTGAGAGGTTGGGTATGGATCAAGGGCAACAGGCTCATGGTGGTAATGGAAACAACCAGGATCAGCAAGAGGGTCCAGTACCACGTCCAAGAACAGTTGTGGGAGCTGGTGATGAGGCCAATACTCAGGCTCAAAGACATGGGATTCAAGCTCTTACACCTGAAAACGATTTTGAGATCAAATCTGGCTTGATCAACATGGTGCAATCAAACAAGTTCTGTGGCTTACCATTAGAAGACCCATTAGATCACATTGACAACTTTGATAGAGTCTGTGATCTAACTAAGATGAATGGAGTGAGTGAAGACAGTTTCAAGTTGAGGCTATTCCCTTTTTCTCTAGGAGACAAAGCTCATCAGTGGGAAAAGTCTCTACCTCAAGGATCAGTCACAACATGGGAGCAATGCAAAAGAGCATTTCTAACCAAGTTCTTCTCTTCATCAAGAACAGCAAGGTTAAGAAATGAAATCTCAAGTTTTATTCAGAAGAACCATGAATCCTTTTGTGAGGCTTGGGAAAGATTTACAGGGTATACCATGCAATGCCCTCACCATGGATTCTCAGATGCTCAGCTGCTAAGTACCTTCTACAGAGGTGCTTTACCAAAGGTCAGACTACTCTTGGACACTGCTTCAAATGGTAATTTCATGACCAAGGAAGTAAGTGATGCCATGACCTTTGTGGAGAATGTAGCTCAAAGTGATGAGCTTTATGGAGAAGAGTTTGACAGGAATTCAAGAGGTGCTGTGTGTGCTGAAGAGGAAAGAACAAGGAAAGACATCTGGTCTCTCAATGAGAAGCTAGATAAATTTCTCCTAGCTTCTCATAAGCAGTCAACTTGATTAGAGATGTGAATCATGTGTTTCAAGACACATTTCAAGGGGAAGACATCACAGCTGAGGTAAACTTTGTAGGTGGACAACAAGGTTACCAAAAAGGCTTTACCTACTACAAGAATTACCCCACCCAGAACTTTCACTCTCACATCAATAACCAGCATGGTTTTGTCCCTCCCCAACAGCAAAGCCTCCTACAGAACTCAGGGAATAAGGATCAGGAAGTACATAACCTGCTCCAGCAAATCCTCCAAGGTCAAGCAAATGGTGCCATGGACTTCAACAAAAAAATGGCAGAGATTAACAACAAGGTGGATTGCACTTATTCTGATCTTCTAACTCAACTTTCAACCTTGGCTTCCAAAGTCAAGACTCTAGAGAACAACAAGGGCCACTGCAGTTCTCAAGCTCAAAGATCTTTACCAGGGACATCAGTTGCACATCAAACAGAATACTGAAATGTAATCCTCTCAAATGCTGAGAATCATGCTGCTGTCCAAGAAATTGAGGATCTTCTCCACGGCAATCTCTCAAGTGCAAAGTGTCTGACACAAGATGATGAGGACGCCTTCATAGAGGAGTTTGACTTCCTGTTCTGTGATCTCAATGAGGACATTGAGAAAGAAGGTGGGGAGGCAGCTTGTTTTGATATGAGAAAGAATGATTCTGAGATTACTAAAAGAAAGGATTAGAGAATGGTTCAAGGAAGGACATCTGATGGAGTCTCTAGCACTGGTTCAACAAGGATGAAACCCAAATCAATTCGCAAGCTAGGTAATCCAGGAAAGTTCTCCATCTCATGCTCTCTTGGAAGTTTGAAAGTGGACAATGCTTTATGGGATTCTGGATCAAGCATCAGTGTAATGTCTTTAGAATGGTGGAGAGACTAGGGATCAAGAGTCTTAAGCATCACCCCATGTCAATTACCTTTGGAGATTCATCCTCAAAGAAGCCATATGGAATCCTTGAAGACTACCCATTAAAGATTGGTGAATGCACAGTTCCAACTGATTTTGTAGTCATGAAGATGAAAAAGATCAAAGAGCTACCTCTTCTGCTTGGAACTCCATTTCTGAACACCACAGGAGCAAGGATGGACTTTGATACTCAAAGAGTGGTGCTTACTAAGGTAGATGATAAAGTATCTTTTCCCCTTAAACCTCCTTTTGCTGGGTTTTGTGGAGTTATATCTGATGATTCTGATGAGTTGAAACACTATGAGATGAAGTATGTGGGGAGTATTGGAACTATAGCAGAAGCTCAACCCCCTTGCATCTGTTAAGAAGAAGAAAGAATCCTTAGTAAGACCTGATTTTGAGTTTGAAAGGGATTTCTTTAGTGATGATGAAGCTTGCTTGGAATCTCTATCTCCCACACCAAGTGAGAAGGAGATCATCAGCAACAAAGGAAATGGTTCAGGGTCTCAAGACAAGAACCCAACAAGAACCAAACCATTCACTCTTGGGTCCTCTTCTCAAGTCTTAACTCTCACTCCTTGGAAGTTTGATGGTGGAGCTGTTGAATACAAAGTTAAAGGCAATGGAAGATCAAGACCATTTGCCAAAGTCAGAGCTATCCTCACACCAGAGTTCAAGGACAAGGGATCTGATGGTGTCAAAGAGCTAATGAACAAGGACCTCATGCTTGAATTCATGGACAAGACAAGGAGCATCAAAGCTCCTCTCCCTCACTAAGAAAAGAGTATGAAAAGTCAAACTTAGTGACTTAAAACAAAGTGCTCTTGGGAGACACCCCAAGCTTATCCTTGTACATAACTTTTTTTTTAATTTTTTTCTCTTCTTTTTCATGTTTTAGGATATTTTGATGGGTTTTGTGAAGTGTTTTCAGGTCTAAGGTAACTTAGGGATGCTGTGGTCCAATGAAAAAGTGAAAAGGAGTCTGAGAACAAGCTGAGGAAGGACTTAAGGAATGAAAACTGGTGAGCCGCCTGGTGTGCTACTTGGGTGTGCGAGTTGGACAAGGTCAGGTCCATCTAGCACACCTGTTCGCAAATCACACCTACATGGGTGTGCGAGTCAGTTCTCCCCTGATCCAAGTAGCACACCTGTTCGCAAATCACACCTAAATGAGTGTGCGAGTCAGTTCTCCCCTGATCCAAGTAGCACACAAATCACACCTACATGGGTGTGCGAGTCAGTTCTTCCCTGATCCAAGTAGCACACCTGTTCGCAAATCACACCTACATGGGTGTGCGGGTTGGTGTCTTCTAGGGCCATGTAGCAGCAACAAAGAAGGCTAGAACTTTCAAGAAGCTTTATGTGCGACTTGGGTGTGCGAGATAGGAAGGAGAGCAGCCCATGTCGCACAACTGCAGAACACCAAGCTTTATGTGCGACTTGGGTGTGCGAGTTGGTCCAAGACAAGTCCAAGCCGCACAAGGGAGTTCAGGCCAAGCCAAACCCATCTCCAGTGATGTCTGGCTTCATCTGGAGCAGATACTCACTCCCCTTTTGCATAAGAACCACACCAGGTATCACTCCAAACACTTGTAAATGAGCATTTAGCATTTTTCTTTATCTTTTGCATTTCATGTTTGATTTTTCCTCTTTCTCATGCTTTTATAACACAAGGGACTGTGTTATTTAAGTGTGGGGGAGAGGCTTTGTGTTTACTAATCATGTTTTCTATGTTCTTATTTTCTCTTTTGCCTTTTTGAGTCTCATTTGATCATGCATAGCATTTAGTGCATATAAAAAAAAACCAAAAATTGAAATATTTGAAAATTTTAACACAAAAAAAATGTTCATGTAGCTGCATTCACATTTTAGGATTGAGTCTAGCTTGCATTATATAGGTTGCATCTTGCTGGGAGTAATGATAGTTTTCTCTTGAGAGTACATCACTTTAAGAATTTGGACCAAATATGCTTGTAAATTGATTTTTGTGCTTGCAAAGCTTGAAATGATCTGAATCTGAGAAGCAAGTTTGAATTGAACTCAACTCTAATAAGTGAAAACCTTGAACTTGACTTGAAACTATCATTTGGTACATTGTTTGAATAAGCTAGAATCCTGTTTTTACCATCCTCTTCCTTAGCTCAAATAGCTGAATCTGCATAATAGATCAGTTTTCTCACCCTGAACCCATCCTTCTTTCAAGCCAATTGTTTGTGTGTGATTGAGAGGCCACCTTGGACCAAACTTAGCAGAAAGTGTTAGGTTTAGGGCGACAAGGGCAAGTCTCATTGAGTGGTAAGTTCCATCATCAAGGAACTGAGAGATTTGGCGAGAACTAAGTGTGGGGGAATACTTGTTGGTGAGTGGAAAAAGGAGAGATGAGTGGAAACAAAAGGAAAGTGGTGAGAACTAGGGGATAGAAAAAGAAAAGAAATCAGTCTTGGAAGTTTTGAGTCAAAGAAAGTGGACTCTAGTGTTTTGGAAAGAAAGAGTCTAGCCTCTAAGTGAAAGAAAAAAAAAGAAGCCAAAGAGCTCAAATGTTCTAAAAAAAGAAAGAAAAAGAGGCTAGAGGTTACAAAAGAAAGTGAAAAAGAGCTGTGCAAAGTTTGAACTCCAAGACTTGTGTATGAAAAGGAAAAGAGAATCCCCTAGTGAGAGAAGAATGAGTTTGAAAAGTAAGCACGTGAGGAAATTTTGAGGTGGGATGAGTCCTTGCCCTTGTATGCATAGGTTGCCTTTTACCTTTAGCATTCTGCCAAAGTTTGGTCATTCATAAAGAGATCCTTTTTCTGCATTGAACCCACTCAGGCATTGATGAGATCATTTTAGTCTCATAACCTCACCCTAGCCAAACTCTGTTTGTTTAAACAATGCATCATTTGATCCACTTGGTAAAAATCTTAATGAATGTTAAAGAGTTGAGGAATAGGAGAACTTGGGGAGATTACTGTTGAGTTGAAAACCAAAGTATGGTTTTTCATTGCATATTGAGCATGAACTTGAATTCTCTTAGTGGTCACTTCTTTTTTTTTTTTTTTTTTTTGAATGAATGTTAAATTTTTATTCAACCCAAAAAAAAATGGACTGTTTTACATCTGGATGATGCGGCTTTTTTAAGAGGCCAATACAAAAACAATTTCAAACAAGAAAATAGCGATCTTCAGTTAACAGAGGTTTTCATCGTCTTGGCTAGTTCATGAGTTTGCTTGAGAAATAAACCACATCTGCATTCCATCTTCATAGCGGCTATTCCCTAGCTTCCTGATGGAGTTGAATCGATTTCGCATCACCTTATCGATATGCTTGGCCAGATGTGCCATCGTGCTGGCTGGTGCTCCGTGGCGTCGGCTGTTTCTTTCCCGCCACGTTACGTAGATTGTGAGTTGGAACACATAACGAAGTATGAAGGTCCTCATCTTGTTATTGCCCAGATCAGAGATGAAAGACACTATATCAGTCCACTGTTTGGAGAAGTTGCGCTCCATGATGCCTGCAGCAACCTTAGCCCATAAATTCCCCGTGAATGAACACTCAAAAAATAAGTGTCGTCTGGTTTCCATCGGTTCCGCGCAGAAGACGCACTTAGTAGCTATGTTCTGGTTCCATGCACTCATACGGTCACCCGTGCTCAGGCGGTTATGGAGTGCAAGCCATGTAATGAACGCGAACTTTGGAGTGTGGTACTTGAACCAAACACCTTTGGTCCATGGTAACTCTGGTGAGGAAGTTCTGAGATGATCTCTCGTAGCTTTTGTACTGAAAAATCTTTTGTAGTTATCACCCTTTGATCTCCAAAAGAAAACGTCCTCCTTGTTAACTTGATAACTCTGCTTCACCTTAGCAAGCTCATTCTCAACCAGATTGTAAATTTCTTGTCTGTGACGTCGTCTTCGATGGTTAAGAATAGCTTCCTCCACTGTTGAAGCAGCACTGATTCCCATGTCGATAATTCCTCTAGCACCAACAAGATTCAGCAATCCCCTCATTGATGACCATGAATTGTACCAGAACGACAAAGAGCGACCATTACCAACCAACAAAGAGCCTTGTTTCGACATTTAAGCATCTGTTTCCAGGCCCAGGAACCTCGAACAGAACCAGTGTCAGGTATTGACCAGATTGATGCATCACGCAAATGATTATGTCGAGACCAGCGAACCCATAGAGACGACTTTGCAGTGAGCAGTCTCCAAATTGCTTCAGACCACAAACCTCATTTGCTAACCGCAAATTTTTGAGTCCTAAGCCCCCCTCCTCCTTCGGTTTACATACATCTGACCATGCTATTTTCGCCTTGTGTGTTTCTAACGCAGGCCCTGACCAAAGGAAAGCAGAGCAGATAATCTCAAGCTCATCAATGCATTTGTTCGGCAACCTAAATGCAGCCATCCAGAAATTTATGAGACTTGATATGACCGAGGATAAGAGCTGCAGGCGACCTGCAAATGATAAAAACCTTGTCATCCATGAACTTATTCTCCTTCGTATCTTCTCTATCAGAGTAGAGTAATCAAGAGAAGTCATCTTCTTTGTCAATAAAGGCAAGCCTAAATATCTGACTGGGAGTTCACCAAATTCAAAGGAGAATCTCTGAGATATTCTCTGTTTCCCTTCATCCGATACACCTGCAAGATATGCCGTAGATTTTTCCAAACTAATTTTTAGACCAGACATTGATGCAAACTCATCGAATACTCCTACTATACCCTCCAGCGATCGCAGAGTTCCATCGGAGAAGACCATCAAGTCATCCGCAAAACAGAGATGAGTCAAGATAATTCGAGAGCACTTCGGATGAAATCCAAATTTCCTCTGCAAAGCAGCCCTGTCCAACATCTTTGAAAGCACATTTATGCAGATTACAAACAGGTAAGGGGACAAAGAACAACCTTGACGCAAGCCTCTAGAACTACCAAAATACCCTCCTAACTCCCCATTCACTTGGACTGAGAAAGAGGCTGTACTGATGCACAATCTGATCCAATGTATGAACTCAGAAGGGATGTGCATAGCTTCTAAAGTGTTTAATAGAAACTCCCAGTGAACTGAATCAAATGCCTTCGAAATGTCTATCTTTAGCGCACATCTTGGTGAAATATTTGCTTTATGATAATCTGAGACAAGCTCTGTAGCAAGCAAGAGATTCTCTATGAGTAGTCTGTCCTGAACGAAGGCTGACTGGTTCATCGAGATACAGTTAGGCAGTATCACTTTCAACCTGTTGGCTATGATCTTTGAAATTAGCTTGTATAAGACGTTACAACAGGCGATGGGTCTATAATCCTTCATCTGCTTCACCCCATCACGTTTTGGAATAAGGGCCAATATTGTAGAGTTAACCCCCTTAGGCAGAAAACCTTTCTTAAAGAAAGATTGGATGCTTATTACCAAATCACTACCAATAGTTGGCCACGCTGCCTTGAAGAATTCTACAGTGTACCCATCAGGTCCAGGTGACTTATTTGTGGCCATAGAGAAAAGCACATCCTTTATCTCCTTTTCCGATACCTCTTTAATCAGATTCTGCCTCTCCTCTGATGTGCATTGATAGCCCAGAAGCTCCTGTAATTCGCTTACACTAGTAGGTCTTAGGTCTCCTGAAGATTGGTTGAGGAAAGCATTAAAATGATTTACTGCCTCTTCCTTGATACTCTCTCGCCCGTGTATGAGCACTCCATCGCTCCTTTCCAATTCTCTGATACCATTCTGTGCCACCCTGGCTGTAACTGCACGATGAAAAACCTTAGTATTCTGATCACCTACTAGCATCCATGTCAGTTTTGCTTTCTGTTTCATGTAAGCTTCCTCTACATGTACCAATTGCTCCCATCGATCATAGCTTTCTTTTTCCTCTTGCTGCAGAGCTTCACAAGGATTATGCAAACTCTGTTCTTGTGTTCGACACAGGTGTCCGAACTCATCCTTTACCCGAACTGATATATTGCTTAAGGTAGACCGAGAGAGAGCCCTCATTTGAGGTTTTAGAGTCTTCAACTTCTTAGTAAATCTATACATGGCTGAGGTCGAATGGAAAAGAGGCGCTGTGTCAGACCAGAAATCTTCCAAAGTCGAGTGGAACTGAGGTAGCGTAGCGATGACGTTTGAGAACTTAAAAGGTCTCCTTGGTTTCGGAACATCCTCATCGTTGACATAAAACCTGCAACGCAGGTGGTCGGAGCACCCTCCAGCCTCGAAAACACAGTAGGAGTCCGGGTGCGAGCTCATCCAATTGTCATTTACAAGCAGCCGATCCAGCTTCTTACAAATTAAGCCCTCTGTTCGCTTATTACACCATGTGAACCTGGGTCCATAGAATCTCATATCGCTCAGTTCCCCATCTCTGACCACTGATTGAAAATCCCTCATTCCATGAAGAGCAGGAGCAGTTATGGTAGGTGACGAATGATCCTCCATCTCCATCATCTCGTTGAAATCACCCATGATTACCCATTTCATTCTCCCATAAACCGGGGAAGCATGAATACTACGCAGATCATCCCAAAGAAGTCGCCTCTCATCTACTCATCATCCATTCCTTGAGTCTTTATCAGAACTGTGATCATCTGGTGACTCTTAAAAACCGGTGTTATTCTGACTGTTGGATCCCATACCAACCATATTCTTCCCAAGGTGCTATGTTCATAGTTGTCCATGAAGAACCAACCCGGGAACACTTTAGATACAATCTCCGCAGCTCTGCTTTCTTTAACTCTAGTTTCCAATATTGCACCGAATACAAAGTCATTTTCTCTGCACCAACCTCTGACTATATCATGTTTTTTCTTCTTGTTGAAACCCCTAATATTCCAGAAAAAACATGTCATTTAATGATGGTTTCTTCGGGTTTTAGACTTCTTTTTGTTTTTCTTTCCTGAGCTGTTCCCCGAGGGAGAGGAATTGAGCGCAGGTTTAACAATAGCACTTTTTTGAGTCATTTTCAATGCTCTTGGTAAAGGGATTCTTCCGCCTGTCACCTGTGATAAACCCTCCGACTCCTTAGATGGAGCAGATTTCGTTGCAGAACCTGAATCCAATTTATTGCCTGGCTCTTCATCTCTTTCATCAAGCTCTTGAACAACCTCTATGCCCTGCTCCTCCTCATTTGAGAGTGAATCAAAAACTGATTTTGAGACACACACCGAATCTTCTTCTACTAGACTACGACGAACAGAGTTTCGAGCAGGGGACTTTACTGGCTCCCAGCCTGAATCCTCTTCCTGACCTTTTCCACTGTTTCTAGGGGTGGTAACCACCCTCTTCATATTCTGTTGTTGCCCCTCCTTCTCCAGCCCATCCTCACGACTTTGCTCAATCATTTGCGTATCACGTTTCGCGCTCTTCAGAGAAACCGGCGAAACCCGCACAGCAGAGCATTCACCTCCGATAGGCTTATCTTTGCTTGCAGCAGAAGATATAGGCATTGAAGGTGTGCCCCGTTGCTTTTGTAGAATCACCATATCCCCAGGCTGAATTCTACACTCCTTTGTCTCATGTCCCCATTTAGCACACGACATGCATCTAGGAGGTAGCCAGGGGAATTCATAGTAAACCACCGTGTCCACTCCCATAGAAGACTTGAAATTGAAACTCTCCGGCAGCTTTTTGTCATATCAACTTCGACAAAAAGTTTAGCTTCCTCAAAATCTCTTGCCCACAAAGTGTCAGTGTGGAGCTTTTTTGGCTCTCCCTAGGCACTTGTTAGAAAACTAAGCCCTTTCCAAGAAAACATAGAGCGTGGGACATTCCGGACTACCACCCACATCGGTATTATGGTCAGTTCAGGCTGAGCCTCTTCCACCACTGGACTCCATTTAGAGACAATCATTGGATTATTTCTAATACTCCACATGCCTCTGCGTAAAACTCTATTCCTCATCTCTGCATCTGGGATTTTGAACTTTACCGTGGATTCATCGACAGCCAAAACATCTACTTTAACCGTCTTTGCACCCACATTCCAGATTCTGTTTACCGTCATGTGTATATAACCCACATGAGGAGCTTTTGCATTCACAAACTTCCCGATAATACAATCCTCCCATAAAGGCGGAGAGTTTTCGAAAATACTGTCAGGGACATGGATAGTCTCCACCCCATTCTCCTCCTTCACCTCCACGTCATACCTCTGCAAACCCGCCTTTTTTGAAACCACAGATACCCAAGACTTCTCCTTCACGGCAACTCCCAGGGAATCCAAGCTCCTGATCTCCACCGGCTGCGAAGCTTTCTCACCATCGCGCATCGTGATTGAGTTCCCTCCTTCTCACCACCTTTCTCCAATCGCATCTCCTCATCACCTTGCTCGACGACCTTTGGCGGTGATGTACCTAGGTCCAAACCCTTTGATGCCGCAACCACTTCCAAATCCTCCTCTGACTGCACCATCGTCTGCCTCTCCTCCAGAGACGGGGGAACACCTGTTCCGGCGCCGTCATGATAGCCGGAACCATACCGGCGGCGTGAAACCCTTACCCCAAAACCCTAGCTTCTGGATCGCCTTTTCTGTCGCCTCCTGCTGACGTGGACCAATTCGATATACTTGTTTAAATTCCTTAGTGGTCACTTCTCTCAAAGGAAACATTAACTCCCATGCATTCAACCTCTCTCTCTCATTTGTTCTTGTTTTCTTGAGGACAAGCAAAGGACATGTGTGGGGGAGTTGATATACTCATATTTTTTCATGTTTAGGATTGCATTTTTGTCCAAATATTGAGTCTCATGAATACATTTAGGTAGTTTTACATATATTTGTCTTTGCTTTTGTCTTTAGTTAGGAATTGCATTAGTTCCTAGAGAGTTTTGCACTTTTGGAGTGTTTACAGGTCATTTGGAGCTAATTGGGAGCAATTGGGACAAAAGCCATGGAGAGACCATCACCTTATGTGCATCAGACTCGGACAAGTGTTCTGGAGCCGACGATCCCTCAACCTGATCACCTGAGAAGGAGGACTTTCACCAGGCTTCAGCCTCCAGAGTCTTCATAAAG